TTCTAATTTTGTCTCACTATTGAAGTGATGCCCTTCTGAATACTCTACCCCATGCCATGTGAACAACAAGATTTTCCTTCCTGGTTGGTGGAAACACAAGTCCTACATGAAGTTGGGGACTGTTTCTACTAGTCCTTTCAGGTAGTTCTTTCTCCAGCTTTGGGGTGGTGTCTTTCCATGCATGAGCTCTGCTGAAAACTTGAGGAACCCTCTTCAGAACTCTGGACTCCTTGCTTTGTGCAGCTCTCCCTGTGAACTCTGGCCACCTTGGCCTACCCAGACTCCTAGAAGCTCCATCGTCTCAAGTCAGGAAGACCACCTCACAGAAGTTTCCACTGGACTTGCAAAGTGTCTTTGCAGCTCAGTGTGAAGAATGTCTGCTGGAATAATGTCCAGCTAATCACCAAATCATCATTTGCTCTCATGGTACCAACTTTTACTAGAGAATTTCAAAAGACTGAAATTACAGGCCATCTCCTATGAAGTTTTCTTTTCTTTCCTTTCCTTTTAAATACAGAACAAGAACACTCCTTTCAGTTTTTTTTTTGTCCATTTTAGAATTTGCTCATCGTAATAAAGGATATGGTTTCCTTAGAAACTGCTTGGATTCAGTGAGTGACAAGTTTAGCACTAGCTCCAAAGACCCAGCTTCCTATGCCCAGATTAGACAATGAGCAAAATCACCTTGATCAGACCATAGGGAGAAAGCAGAGGAAAAATTGACCCTTAATACACCTGTGTTCCACAAGTGTTGGCCAAGGATATGGAGAAATTGGAACTCTGTTCACTGTTGGTGGGACTGTAAAATGGTGCAACTTCTAAGGAAGACAGTCTGGAACTTCCTCAGAAAATTAAAAATAGAATTACACTATGATCCATATATTCCACTCTGGATATATAGCCACAATAATTGGAAGCAGGATCTTGAAGAGATATTTTCATGTGCATGTTCTTAGCAGCACTATTCACAATAGCCAACAGTTTGAAGCAACCCAAATGTCCATCAACAGATGAATGGATAAACAGAGTTTGGTATATACATATAATGGAATAATTCAGCCTTAAAAAGGAAGGAAATTTCATCACATGCTACAGCATGGATGAACCTTGAGGGCATTATGCTAAGTGAAATAAACCAGTCACAAAAAGACAAATGCTGTATGATTCCACTTACTTGAAGTACCTCAAATAATCAAACTCATAGAAATAGAAAGTAAAACGGCGATTACCAGGGGCTGGGTTGTGATGGGGAAAGGGGCGTTGTTGTCTAGTCAGTATAGACTTCCATATTTGCAAGATGGAAAAGTTCTGGAGACCTATTCCACAACAATATGCTAAACACTACTGAACTGTACTCTTGAAAATGGTGAAAATGGTAAATTTTATGTTATGCATTGTTTACCACAATAAGAAAAATTATTTTAAAAAGATATAGACTTGGGTTCCTGCCTGACCCTGACCCTTTGGACTTTGTAAATTTGGAAACTTCAGTTTCCTTACCTTACTTGGATGTTATAGTTACTATAAATTCAAATGGGATAATGTCTGTGAATGTTTTTCATAAACTAGATGGTGCTCCAATGATGGAAACCATTTTTGTCAGAGAGGTAAGGATTGAGAATCATTTCTGGAAAATAGCCTGTCACTAAGCGTTGCATCCCAAGGAGATATACGGGTACTTGAAAACTGAAGTGGGGCACCTGTGAGACGGGAGAGCAGAACTGACCATCAAGCACACACCAAAGGGCAACGTCAAAGAGAGGGAACTCACCACGGCTTGCTGAGGACCCTGCAAGATAAGTGGTCACGAGCAGGGTGACAGCAATAATGTTGCTCTTTCCAAACACATGTTTCAGGAAGCCTAGCAGTGGAAGAGGCTGCACGTTCTGCAAATAACTGCTGAGGTTGCAAACTAAAGGACTGTGTCATGCGTACCTAGCATAGGAAGGACTCTTGACCAGAGACCAGCCTTAGTGAACAGAGCTGGGCATACATAAAACCATAAATTTTCCTTTCCACTTGAATTTACAGTTTATGAATGTAAATTGACTGACTTGTTCTCATTTTAAAATTTGACAGTTCTCAATAAAAGTTTTGAACACTTCAGTTTTAGTTTCTTTTTTTTTTTTTTTGGTTGGAAGGAACAGAGGTTCACTCAAGCAAATTCACAAAATGGGATGCACATTATTATAAAAACATAATGGAACAATCAAGGAGGCCTGGAGCTCTAAGAATGGCACTCATGACAAGGTACATTTGGATTCAGAGCCATCATTCTTCCATCTTCAGTCTGCAGTTGCCCATTAAGGATGACTTAGCTACATTCTATTTTCTGCTTCTTTCTACCCTGACTACCATTCTTTCTATGTTTCTTAGTTCAGATTTGAAAGTTTATTTTTTCAAGCCAGGCCACAGAGTCATGGGGCCAGGGATCAGATGAGTACTCTTAGGTTAGCTTTGAGCTGGTGGTGGGGTAGGGAAATGGAGTCAAGGAAAGTAGCAAAATGCATGCCAGTTTCAAAAGCAGGAACTGTGGGCAGCGCAGTTTTCCTTAGAAAGGATTGTGGTATATTAGGCCATGATTAACGCCAGGATCTTTGAGAGGATCCAGGATTCTTTCCCTCCTGGATTCTGAGCGAACAGAAATAAATCAAGAGTTAGGCAGACAAGAGGTTAAACATTACCTCTAATTCTGATAAAGCCTAAATTGAAAGATAGAGCTTCATATTAGAGCACAGGGGATCTGCTAGCTGAACCCCAGAATTATGTAGACATCCCCATTCAGTCACAGAGATTACGAGGGCAAGCAGAACACCACATATAGGGTGGCTTTCTAGATAAGACTTGTGATACACAAGAGCAGAGTATCCTGGTTCCCTTACACAGCTGTTCCCAAGGAAAAAAAGAGAAGAGCTAAGCCAGGCATGCCAGTTTCTTCTTCCCAAATTTACCAATCGTATTAATCGTTCCACCTCCCCTGGGGCAGAGTGGGTAAAGGAGTAGAGAGGCTAGGAGTGCTACAGGAAGTCAGCTCCCTTCACATGGAAGGAAACACCAAGAGAGAAGAGATATCCCCCCTTAATAACTGGCATCTCTATCACAATGAGAACAGTGATCAGTTTGAACAAAAGGATAAATACAAATGCAAATGATCACTTTCTGGACTTAATAAACACAGTGATAGCTTAAAAACCTTAACGAGTTAAGAAAGCCTCAGTATGAAAATAGAAAGGTTATTGTGCTGGTTATTGGTAGGCATTACCTGATTGATGAATACCCCGTAAATATAAACGTTATGTTCTACATGCAGTGCTATAGAAGAGCACACCAAAACATACATACCAAAAGTCAAATCATGTGAATAAGCACCATCAGTAGAACTCTGGAATGGGCCAGATCTAAGAATTTAGGCCAATTTTACCTAGAGATATACAAGTATCAAATTAAAACTCTAAAAGAACAGTTCCAGGCAGACTTTGAAAAGCAGAGGTTACTCTCTCCCGGTTTGAAAGCATCCTCTCTTAGTTTCAATTTGTTAAAGTAAATCATGCTCAGACCAGCAACTGTAACAACACTGATTACATATTTGGTATTTACTGGCATCACTGCAAGTATCAGGTAATTGATATCCAACTCCTGTTTTCCTAAAATAAAGTCGGTACAACATGGGACTTGAAAGTGTGAGATTTGGACCTAGACTTTGTGTTCAAATCTCCCCTCTTAGTCACAGGTCATGTGACATTGGGCATGTTACTTAACCTCTATGAGTCTCAGGTTTCCCATCTATAAAATGGGGGTAATTAATAGAATCTGCCTGTTAGGATTGTTGTAAAGAGTGAGTGAATTAGTACATGTAATGCACTTAGCGCTGTGCCCTGCATCTAGTTTTACCCATCTAGTAAGTGTTAGTACTTAGGATTATGTGGTGAAGAAAGCAGTGCTTTGTGTAGTAACATTGTGCTAGGAAAATGAGCAATGCTTTCTTGGGCTTCATAGGTGAGCCAACATGCTCAGAAAACACTGCTTGATTTAGTTTAGCAAATGGAGAAAATACTGCTCAGTGGGAAACTCATTTATGCTGTTAGCCACATGACTTTGAATATCTTGAGTATAACACCTTGGAGATCAAAAGATGATGTTTTTCCATACAGGTTTGCCTCACTTATCTCCACTTCTCACTCTTTATGTTACACTTTCATTTCAGGCCTGTTTTCTTCTTTTTCTTGTTTTATTCATTAACTAAGTATAAGTTAAATTTAAAATGGTACCTAAAATTCTGTATTTCTTCTTAATTAAAATGTAGGCAATAAGTGAAGCAGAGCGTTATGAACTGATGTGGAACGCTCTTCAAGATGCTAAGATGACTGAAAGAACTAACCAACATAACAGTATGTCTAGTGTAATCTCATTTATGAGAGAGAAAAAGAGGTAGAGGAGAAAGGGGGGGAGAGAGCAAGGCAAGACAGGGAATCAATTAATGTCTAAATATACACAATAGGGTAGAAGTTTCTAGAAGGATCGCTCTGAAACCAGGATGAGGAAGAATGAGAAAGAGATTGCGGAGGAGCAGGGGAAAACATAAGGTAAAGAGTCAGGAAACTAAGGGGCACTTTTCATTTTTACCTTGTGTTGTTTGAATTTTCTAAGAACAGGAAATATGCATGTATCACTTGTATAATTTTAGAAACGTAGTGGGGAAAAGGAAATGGAAGAAAGGTTTTATCTCACAATTGATTTGGATTTTTCCTTATTTATTTTTTCTCTTTCGGTTCAGCCGCCCAATAAAGTTTGTTTCTTCCCCTTGTTCTAGGTTTTGTTGTTCTTGTTTTGACTGAAAGAGAGAGTGAAGAGAAGGAAGGGAAGGAGGGAGGAAGGAAGGAACAAAGAAGGAAAGGAAGGACAAAACACCTAGAAGCCTAAGCTTGGTCCCAGGGCGGCGTTCTTTTTCCGCCGGGCGCTGCTTCCGTCTGGTTCATTCTGTCCCGTGGATGTTCCTGCAGGCGTCCCTGAAAGCCTCCATCCGCGCCCGCGACTGTACCACGGCGGCTGCCATTGTGTTCTTAAGCGACCGCTTCCTGTACGGGCTCGACGTCTCCGGCAACCTCCTGCAGGTCGCCAAGGGGCTCCACAAGTTGCAGCCAGCAACGCCCATTGCCCCGCAGGTGGTGATTCGCCAAGCCCGAATCTCGGTCAACTCAGGTAGGCTTCCCTCCTGCTGGCCCCTCGCGGTCCTGCGGCCGTGCGGCCGGCCTGGGGCTCGGCTGCGCTCCGGGGCTACTTGACTTCGGCGGGGGGACGGCGGGCACCCGGGCCTGTGGGCCATCTTTTCAAGCGGCGGGGTCTCCCCGCCCCTGGCCCTCCGAGGTGCCCTTCCACCCGCCTCTTGCCAGCACAAAGGCCCTGGCATAAAGGGTTTCAGAGCCAGAAGCAGTAGAGAAAATTGTGAAAGGGTGTGGAAAATACTAATTGGAGCTTTTGTCTTCTAACAAATCTGTCCTGCTGCTTTCAAACAGGGGTATCTGAATTGCTATACTTCTGACCAAGAGCCTTTAAAAAGCAGATTAAAATTCGACTATTTTCTCTTAGTTCTCCTGTCTCCTTTCTGTAGGGCCACTTGACTATGCTAACAATAGAGCTGACAAATCCACTGAAGTGATTTGAGGGGTTTTTTCCATCACTGGGAACACCGGTACAGTACCTGATTAGGCCCTAAAGTAACTTTTTTTTTCCTTCTGTCACTTTGAATGAAATGAAAAATGAGGCTGACATTCTAACTTAGGATGTACTGTAGAGGGCAGTTGGAGGGAGAAAAGGCCTGCTATGTATTACAGTGAAGTTTACTTCTATAGAATTTTGGAATTATTTAAATTACTGATAACCATGAGGTTGAGAAATGTGTAGCCTGCTATCCTCATTTCTAAGACTGAAAGAATAAAGGACAAAAGTAGAAGGCAAATTTGCCCTTCCCAGAAACAGGACTGGCTTGTTTTTTAAATTGATTTTAGCTGTTGTTATTGTTTAAGTAAGTCCGGTCTTCAAGGGGTTAAAATATCTTTACTTCATTTCCTTTGAAAAGGAACTGTACTGACTATACTAAATGGGACAATTGTTGGGTGCAGAGAGGGACAGAGATAAAAGGACATGAGAGAAATGGGCTTGTGGAGGTTCACTTTTCAAAAGCCCAACTTCATTCACTTTCAAGTTCTTGCAGCTGTGCGTAAATTGTGTCCGTGTTTATTACTTTCCTAGAGTAATTGCAGGGACAGAGTTGAACTTGGGAAAACTTTCTTCCTTCCGATATCCCTGACTCGGGACATTTTACAATGTTTGGAGTTTATAATATTTGGGGTATGAGGGAAACCTGACAACTAATGTTCCTTCGGATGGCATCGGATGGCATCAGATGGCATCAGATGGCGATGATGTGTGTGCATAGCATTCTGTGGGGAGAACAGAATGACGAAGCTGGGCATGCACAGGCAGGGTTCTAACATTGGTTCTCCTCACTTAGAACTTGGAACAGAGTCCATGTGGCCTATTTTATGAGACACAGATTTGGTATAGTGCGACATGAAAATTGAGGTTAAGCGGAAGGCAGGCATGTTGATAGCTTTGTTTTACACAGCCACACTGATCTTTTCACTTGTTTGTTTTGTTGTTTCTCTCATGCTTCTAACCGTGATAACAAGTAGGCCTAGAGAGCATCATGAGCAGTATGCTCCTCTGTTGATACGTATCCTATGTCTAAGATAAAATCCTAGATCTTAGTTCCCGCAGTTGGGTTGTCTTTTCCTCAAAGATACTACCAGAAGAGCCACAAGAAAACAAACACAGTCTCAGAGTTAAGTGAGTTTTGTGAACTTCTCCCCGCAAACAACTTTTTTTTTTTTTTAAGATTAATTTAGAGAGAGAGAACGAGAGTGCACCAGTGGGAGTGGAGGGAGAGAAAAACTCAAGCAGACCCCACGCTGAGCTCAGAGCTCAATGCAGGGCTTGATCTCACAACCCTGAGATCATGACCTGAGCCGACATCAAGTCAGACGCTCAACCGACTGTGCCACTCAGTCCCCCCCCACCCCAAACAACTCTTAAGCCTCCCCATACACTGGATGTCTCAGAGAGAGAGGGGCTTAGAGCAGTGGTGGTATCCTGGTAGAGAAGGTACCATGAGAAAGGGTCTCCATTCTCAGCATTTGGGACTCCCAGGATGGAGAAATGAGAGGACTGTATGATATTATAAGGAGTAAGGAAGAGGAATAAAGGTAATATGAGGGGACCGCACAATTCTACTGTTATCCCTTTGACTCAGCCCTTCCTGGTATCCACCCAAAACACATGCCAAAGGTCAGGGCATTCAACATGGGATTTCAGACACAATAGAGAACATCCTGGGCTTGCCCAGCTCACTCTTGCCTAAAATTAGGAGGAAAACCTTTTAAGCCATAATTAGAGATAAAGGTTCAAATCTTCAGTTCTTTCACATGGAGGATTAAGCAAGTATAAAATCTTCTCCTATTACATAGATATTGTGAATATCTTTTTAAGCGTGGAAACGCAGAAAGTGTTCAAAGTTAAAACAGTAGTCTACTGCTCACGAGCCAGAGGGGTTTACACTTGAATATGGTCCTAGGGGAAGGGACTGTCATTTTAATCCCCATGTAGGGGCAAGAGACAGGTCCATGGGACTATGTGAGGAGTGAAATATTTGCATAAAGTGGGAATTCTCAAAGGTTTGCACAGCTATGAGAGGGGACTGAACAGCTCCACCAGCTCACCCGGAGAAGTGGCAAGGAAGCTTACTGTCTACCCAAGCTCTGGGGTAGAGGCCAAAAAAAAAAAAAAAACTCCCCAAATAAATAAAAACCCCAAGACAATGCCAAATGTGTGTGAGGAGTCTGAATTTACCCTACCCACAAGGGAGGGGATCCCCCCAAATAATTAACAAAAAACTAGTTCAGGACTGACATTTTTGGGGCCCAACAGAATATCAAGTACAAAACTATGTTCTAGAGAAACATCCACACTCCGGAGGAATAGGAATCCCACAGGAGAATAATCCTTGCTGAAGATGCCCTTGGTTAAACTGTATAAACAACAAAAGGAAATGAAACGTGAGAGAAGAGCAGCATGTACAACAAAACACAGGAAAAATGGCCCTCCAAAACAAAATATAAAAATAGAACAACCTGAAAGACTCACATGGCTTAAAAAAATAGTATGTTTAAAGAACAGAATGCAACAGGAAAAGAAAATGAATTCACTCTTTTGAAAAAGAACTAAAGAGAATTTTCAGAAATTTAAAAATACAGGTGGCTCAGTCAGTTAAGCGGCTAACTCTTGGTTCCTGCTCAAGTCATGATCTCAGGGTCCTAGGATGGAGCCCTACATCAGGCTCCATGCTCCGCAGGATGTCTGTTAGAGAATTCTCTCCCTCTCCCTCTGCCCTACCCCCCAACTCGTGCACACATGCACTCTCGCTCTCTCTAAAATAAATAAATCTTCTTAAAAATATGCAGATCCTAATTCAGTGGGTATGTGGCAGGGCCTCAGATTCTGCATTTCTAACCAGCTCCCAGACAACACTGATGCAGCTGTTCTCCAGACCTCCATTTACTAGCAAAGGACTATCCAGGGGCACCTGGGTGGCTCAGTCGGTTAAGTGTCCGACTCTTGATTTCGGCTCAGGTCATGATCTCAGGGTTGTGGAATCGAGCCCCAAGTGGGGCCCCTCCACTCAGCATAGAGTCTGCTTGTCCTCCTAATACTCTGCCCCTTCCCTAGCTCATGCCTACTCTCTCTCTCTCAAATGAATAAATAAAAATAAATAAAAACTTGAAAGAAAAGAAAGAAAAGAAAGAAAGAAAGAAAGACCTGAGTGGCTCAGTCTATTGTCTGCCTACTGCTCAGGTCATGATCCCTGGGTCCTGGGATCAAGCCCCACGCAAGGCTCCCTGCTCAGCTGGAAGCCTGCTTCTACCTCTCATTCTGCCCTTCCCCCCTTTGCTCATGCTCTCTCATGTGTGGGCTCACTCTCTCTCAAATAAATAAAATCTTTAAAAATAAATAAATAAATAATTTTTTAGTAAAAGGACTATCCAAAGATTCTAAATATGTTCCCACCTGTTATAGGGGAGTGGTAACAACCTTCCAATAAAGATAAATTTCCCGGGCCAGTTTCTCAGTTGTTCCAACCCCCTAACTGACCTACTGGAAATGCATTCCTGCAGCAGATCTAACAGGAGAGAAAGTGATGGAACTGGAAATTATATTTAAGGAAAATACTGAGAATGAAGCATATGGAGTTAGGTAGATGAAAATATGAATGAGGAATTTTTAAAACTTAGAGAATAGAATGAAAAAAGCACATAAGCATGATAGGACTTCTGAGAGGACTGACTGGAATTAGAGAAAAACACGTCTTTGTTGAAGAGGTGGACCCAACCTTGAGCAAACTTCTTTTTTAAAAAATCACCTAGACACAGTGTGGTGAAACTACAGAAAATCAAACAATGAGAAAATCTTAAAGGAAACAGAGAGAAAAGACAGATTATGTATATGGGGACTATATTTAGACTGACAAAAAACATCTTATCAGGAACAACAGAGTCCAGAAAGCAATGGAATCTACCAAAAAAATTTGAGAGGAAATAGCTTTCAACCTAGAATTTTATACTCAGCAGAGTCACTATTCATAAGTGAGGACAAAAGAGACATTTTCAGACAAAGACTAAAAATATTTATTATTCTCAAGACATTTCTCTCCTCTTTCTCTCTCTCTCACATACACATTAAAGAATGTATTTTGTTAAGTAAGAAGTTGAATCTATAAAGATGACGTAGGAGATTCAAAAAGCAATGGTAGGGGCCCCTGGATGCCTCAGTCGTTAAGCATCGTTAAGCATCTACCAAGCAAAAAAAAAGCAATGGCAAATAAAGAATTCGTAAATGCACAGGTCAAACTAAGATAAAAATAAAAGGAAATTATCTGGTAGTATCACTTACATAATTTATCAGATGCAAAAAATTTATTATCAAATTGACCAGCATTATATTAAATTAATAAAATACATTATAGTCAAGTAAGGCTTATTCCAGATATATAAGGATGGTTAAATATTTGTTTTTTTTTTTTAAAGATTCTATTTATTTATTTGACAGAAAGAGACACAGTGAGAGAGGGAACACAAGCAGGGGGAGCGGGAAAGGGAGAAGCAGGCTTCCCGTGGAGCATGGAGCCCGATGCGGGGCTCGATCCTAGGACCCTGGGACCATGACCTGAGTCGAAGGCAGACGCTTAATGACTGAGCCACCCAGGTGCCCCAAGGATGGTTAAATATTTAAAAGTGGATTCATTCAGGGGTGCCTGGCTGGCTCAGTTGGTAGAGCATGTGACTCTTGACTTCGGGATTATGCATTTAAACCCCCTTGTGTGTAGAGCTTACTAAATAATAATAATACTAATGTCATAACTGATTCATTCAGTTCACCTCATGGATAGAATAAACAAGAAAACTATGTGTTCACCTAAATTGATGTGAGAAGTGTTTTATAAAATTTTCTACCCATTTAGGTTAAAAATACAAAGTAGGGTTGGAGATGGTCTTGGTCAGTTTCCAGTCAGGAGACAGAAACAACACAGTAATTTGAACAAGGAGAGTTTAATATAAAGAGTTATTAACTATGTCAGGGGATTAATGAGGGATTACTAATAAGTAGTATTAGTAGAAAAGAAAGTAGAAAAGATTAGTAGAAAAGAAAACTCTAAAGAATACAGGATAAGCAGTTATAAAGATCAGCCACTATCCCTTGTACTGAGGTAGAGCACATAAGAAAAATTTCCCAATCCCACAGGCAGGCACACCAGGACTGCGATCCAGACCTTTTTGGAGAAGGCACTGCCATGGCTCACAGGATGGCAGAGAAGTCAAGGAGGCTCCATGCCAGCAGAACTCACTGGAAATCCACCTTCTTGGGTGCTGGGGTGAAGCCATCCACAGAAAGGTGCCTTGGAACTCACCACAAAGCTGCCTTTGTGGAATGCCAGGAGGACACATTCCTGGGGACGTCCCTCCCTGGCAGCACTCCACTGCAAAGTCACCTGAGAGGATGCTGCAGGAAAGCTGCCGGCTGCTCAGTGCTGCTGACCTCTGCACACTGAGCCAAGTGCTGGGGAAGCCACCTGTGTTGGAGGAGGAAGGCACAGGAGAAGCCAGGAACACTGCAGGAAGCAGGCACTGGAGAAGCTACATGCACTGCGGGAGCCTGGCAAGAATTGCACACTAAATCAGGAAGAGAAGCAGCCTCCCTTGCAGTGTGTGTCCACACCCTCTAATGACAAAGCTGGCAAAAGAGAAATATTTACAAGGTCCATTCCCATTATTGCAAAGCAGGCAATGAAGGGTGAATTTGGAGCTGAAAGGCAATAAGCTGATAGCTGCACAAGAGGAGACTTCTTAACCTGATAAAAGGAAGCAATTGAAAACCTTGGCAAAATTACTGATGAAAAACTAGAAGTATTCCTTTTAAAATCAAGTAAAGAAAAAAAATGTATCTTGTTATCACCTCTATTTGATACTGACCTGGAAGTCCTCCCAGTGCAATGAAAAAAGAGAAAGAAATAAGAGATATAAAGATTAGAAATGAATAAACACAATTATCAGGATTTGTAGATAGTATGATTGCCCACATTGAAAACTTCAAAAATTACACAGATTATTAGAATTAAGACATTCAGCAAGTTTGGTGAATACAAATCAATATATTTTAAAAATACCCATCCTTAGATATCAGCAAAACCTAATTAGAGGGGTGCCTGGGTGGCTCAGTTGATTAGGCGTCCAACTCTTGATTTCAGCTCAGGTTGTAATCTCAGGGTCCTGGAATCAAGCCCCATGTGAGGGCTCCTCACTCAGTGGGAAGTCAGCTGGAGATTCTTTCCCTCCATGCCTTCCCCTGCTCATGTGCATGCTCTCTCTCTCTCTCAAATAATCTTTTTAAAAAACCTAATTAGAAAATATAACTTTTAAAAAGAAAGATACCTTTGGTAAAATTCATTTACACAAGTATTTCATGTTATTGCTCTTTCTAAACACATTGGTATGAATAAATTTTAATCAGACAATAAGTCATGATTTCAGAATATGCTTTTCTTTTTCTTTCCTTCCCTCATTTCTTTCCTTCCCTCATTTCTTTTCTTTCTTTCTTTCTTTCTTTCCTTTTCTTTTTTCTTTTCTTTGTTTCATAGTCTTGTTCACAGAAAGAAGACATAATGTTTTACAAGGGTTTGCCTTTACTTCTCAAGCCTTATTCTATATGAATGAATGTGTATGTGTATGTGTATGTGTATGTGTGTATGTGTGTAAATCTAATTGCCATTTCAGACACTGTACAACTTCCCACCTTACCAATTCCTGGAAATGTCATCTTTTCTGTTCACTTTTGTGGATGATGTAGTTATTGATTTTAAATTTTATTTTTATTTTTTTAAAGATTTATTTATGTATTTGAGAGAGAGAGCAGGGGGAGGGGCAGAGGGAGAGGGAGAATCTCAAGCAGACTCCCTTCTGAACAGGGAGACTGACGCGGGGCTCGATCTCATGACCTGAGATCATGACCTGAGCCGAAATCAAGAGTCCATCTCTTAACCGACAGCCACCCAGGTGTCCCTGACTTCAAATTTTAAAATAGAATGTTTCCAAGAGAGGTTATGTTCCCTCTTATAATGTGTTAATCTTAAAGCATAAACTTATTAGTGGTACTGAAGGCAAATGTTCAGAACTAATTGTGTAGCATTTGGTTGCTTCTTTTCAGGGAAACTTTTAAAAGCAGAGTATATCCTGAGCAGTCTAATAAGCAACAACGGAGCAACAGGTAAGGTGCTTTCATATCTTCACAAAGACCTTCACCTGCAGTCCCTACTGGAGTTCTAGTTTAAAAGCAACTGAATGACCTAATAGTTACTGGACACTAGACGTCTCCAGATCTACCTGGAATTTGGGTAACAAATCATTTAAATCTTCAGATATCTTGTCTGAATTTCTGGGCATTAAAGTCAACAAGTTTCCCAGTAAGTTGAATCCAACCTCCAGTAGACTTTTAATCCCAGTGTGCTTGGATCCAAGGTTCCCAAGCTCCTTGAACCTTATTGACATTTCCAGTGGGGAGGCAGTTTGGAATACAGATATTGACCATACACCCCTCATTTGTGGCCACCATCACTAACCTATGGTATGCACACTTCCCATCTTCCACACCACACACACACGCACACGCGCACACACACACACGCACACACACACTGGGATTAAAAGCTGGGGAGAAAACAGAGAAGGTGATGTGGCACAGAATCAAGAGGGTGTAATAATGAATTTGGCTCTATTTTTGGTGTTTGCTGACAATTTTAAGGCCCCAGCCTTCCCCCACCCCTCGTTGTCCCAGGCTGGGGGCGGGGGTTGTTTTTTGGTTTGTTTTAAACCTACTCATCAGTAAACCGAGTGTAGCTTGTGGGAGACTTTACCCCAGCCCCACACCCTAATCACAGTAAAAACCAAAGCCACTCACCACTCTTCACTCACGTCAGGTGGACCAGCTTGGGTGCCTGCCTGCTCTCCTCAGAAAGGCTCCTTATGAGAGTACTAAATCTTTTCATGCCTTCTTGGTGTGCATGTGCAGTCATCAGTCTCAACTTCCAAACCAATTTTGGGTGGACTGGAAGGAGGAGCTGGTCTCCTCAGGAACCAGAGGGAAGTGGATCCCCGGCAGAGGTAACAGCAAGTGCAGATGCCATGCAGCAAGAGACAGCTCCCATGATAAGGAACGCAAACGAAGTCAGTGTGGCAGGACATAGTCAGTTGAGAGAGGTGGAGACCAGGCAGGAATTCATGTCTGTGAAGCCTTGTAGGTTACAGCAAGGAGTTGGAACCTTTCCCTAAATGTAGAGAAAAGATTGTCTCTCTAATCTGGATCACATGTGCTCATGAAGGCATGAAATGGTTTCATTTCATCAGGCTATTTCCTTGATAATTCAAAGCTAAAGCCACTTTGCTTTTTTCCCCTTTTGTTGTAGGTACCTGGCTGTACAGAAATGAAAGCGACAAGGTCCTGGTGCAGTCAGTCTGCATACAGATCAGAGGGCAAATTCTGCAAAAGCTAGGTACGGTCATCCGACATTCAGCCTCTCAGGGCTCATTTACAAAGTCTGGCTGTGAGATTTTACCATGGAATTTTCTAATTGCATCTGGTTACAATTGCTAATCCCCACTTCGCTGAGTTTCCTCATCGAAAAAAAAAATGACATTTAAGATCCCAGGAGTGTTATGAACATTAATAGAACAAAATATTTTATGTTGAGCTTTGTTAAAGAAATACACAGTTGTATAGTTTGATGCTAACCTTAGGGTTCTCGGTATTATTTCTGGAGTCTGACTTTCAGTTCTACAGGACTCCATGTGCTAGAGTGACACCTTATTCTACACCACCCTGACACCTTACCCATTCATTCCTCAGAGGGCATTCCTGAGTTTGTCAAGCAAAATTTATAGAATGCTAGCTGTGCTTTAAAGTGCATGGCCCCGCCCAAGATGTTTACAGCCCAGCAAGCCTGAGTGCTCTGCCAGCAGTCCAGGAGAGGGCTTCTAGCACTGTCCCCACAGACAGGCCAACCTGAACATGGGGGTTGGGGGGGTTGGTCCCAAGGAGGGGTCCTGAGGAGGGAGGGAAACAGGGCAGAGGCTCTGCTGTAGGCTGGAGGGAAGAGGAAGGGAGATATGCTGGGAGGCAGGAAGGAGGCCCGGGGGGGGGCGGTCCGGGGGGGGCCCATGGGCTTATTAGCCTATCCCCAAGCCCTTTCCTCACCTGAAGGCAGAAGACTTTAAAAAACAACAAAAAGGAAGAATAAAAAGGAGCTGCAGGTACTCAAATAAATAAATAAATATGCAAACTAAAGTGTTTGAAAATTTTTAACATAGAATGGTAATTAGTATTCTTGTAAATGATGGAGTTGGTTATATATATATATACACACACACACATATATATAATTCTTACTGTTTTTCTGTGAAAGGGAAGAATTATCTGTATTAAACCAACTGGAAAAATAGGTTGCTGTTTTTCCAGCCGATTGCTATCTGCTGATTGCTGTCAATATAATTCAGCCTGAAATTTTCCTAACAGGAGCCAATGAATCTTCTTTCTGTATTAGTTCTCAAAGGCATTTTCTAACACAATACACAGATGCTAGCAGTTTGTGCCGTCTCCCCCTCTTTTTCCAGGGATGTGGTATGAAGCAGCAGAGCTAATCTGGACCTCCATCATAGGATATCTGACACTTCCTCAGCCAGATAGAAAGGTGATGTATCTAGTGCTTTTTTTCTCCTTTCCTACATTTGTCTTGGGATGAGTATCTCAGTGTATCATTTATCAAGTTTATTAGTTCTATTTTTATCGATTCTGCATGGGCACAGGGCCAGAAACATTTGGTAACTTCTTCTTGTGTCTTGCCCTGTCCCCACTCACAGCTGGACTCCTGGCATGTATTTAGTGTTTCTGCATTCATGTCTAAGTATCTATTTATATATATATTTCTATCTATTTACATGCTTATTTCTATTTATGTATTTATTTCTAAATATACATTTACTTATATAATATAAACATTATATATTTATTTCCATTCATCTATCTATTTGATTATAGATTTAGCCTTTACCTGATTCCGCAGCAAAGTTGAGATGGCCAAGTTGCTTAGATGTAAGATCATTTTCCTCCAACTAATTGTTTCTGGGGCATCTTTATCCAAGAAATCGAGAGGCAACATCTGCTTTCCTACTTGATGTTTTCATGCTCTGTGTCTCTGTGGGAATATTCTCCTTGTTAACTGGAACACTGGGTTATCTCATTTCCCTGAGCTGTATCAGCAGTGCCATTGCCTACAATCCGTTGATGACACAAACAGAATGGGACACAAGGACTCTTGCTTGAGCCAATTCTTTATGCCTAGCAGGATGGAGAAGTTAGTGTTGACAGTCCAGTAAAGCCCACCTAAGAAATAGTTGCGTTTACATTAGGTCTGTGTCCTCAGGATGTGACGATCTTTCAAGCTCTGTGGCATCCAGTTTAGAAGTATTTCCACTGTCAAAATAACAATCACAGTAAGAACAAGAAGAGCAGCCACAGAGATAGTTCATATGGAGGACTGATCTTTGCCTTTAGGCCTTGAGATGAGAGCGGTAGTTGACCATGAATTCCTAATCTGTGTTCTGTTTGTTTGTTTCTTACAGGGTATTTCCACATCACTAGGTATACTGGCAGACATCTTTGTTTCCATGAGCAAAAAAGATTATGAAAAGTTTAAAAACAATCCACAAATTAACTTGGTAATTATCACATGTCAAAACCATGGTGCAGGTGGCATCACCTCACAAAACCGCCAGCATTTTTGGTGATTGGAGCATCAATCTCATTCTCTCTCCAGGAGTCAGGGAGCACAAGTGTCTCCCCTCTTCGAGTCACGTGAACAATCCTGGGGACAATTCCTATGGTGTCCGATTTAGCTGTATTATCTTAGCACCTAGCACGGTACCAGACATACAAGGGTACTAAAAAAAAATGACAAGTGAATGAATGAATATCATCGAGGTGATCAGTGCTTTGAATCCCACTGATTTCCTTTCAAATCATCAAAAATTCCGTTTCCACACTTGGGCTACCTCAGTGATAAGGTAAAGGGGTAACAATTTTAAAGATTTTATTTTGTTGGGGCGCCTGGGTGGCTCAGTCATTAAGCATCTGCCTTCGGCTCAGGTCATGGTCCCAGGGTCCTGGGATCGAGCCCCGCACTGCCTCCGTGCTCGGCGGGAAGCCTGCTTCTCCCTCTCCCACTCCCCCTGCTTGTGTTCCCTCTCTCGCTGTGTCTCTCTCTGTCAAATAAATGAATAAATAAATCTTAAAAAAAAAAAAAAAGATTTTATTTTGTTAAGTAAGCTCTACACCCAGCGTGGGGCTGGAAATTACAACCCTGAGATCAAGAGTTGAGTGTTCTACTGACCGAGCCAGCCAGGTGCCCCAAAGGGGTAACAATTTTAAAACTTTAATTACCTCTCTGTTCAAATCAGAGTATCAGTCACTTGTCTAAGTTCTCATTACTAATATTTATGTATTCCTTTACAACTCAATATATAGGAGCCACATAAAACCCTATGAGGTAGGTAGAGCAAAAGGTATTGTTCTCATTTAAGAGAAAAATAAACTGAGGTCCAGAGAAACTCAGTGAGCTCTATAGTTTGCACACCCAGTAAGAAAGAATACTAAGAGCAGAACCCAGATCTCTGACCAGTCTAGAGCATTAGCATAGACATCAAACTGCTCTCCTGCACTGCACTGGTATTGAAAGCCTTAATATTATCATGAAGATTGCCATTTTTATTAAATACTAAAGTGACAATGGTAACCGTATTTAATAGTAATTACTTAGCCTAAGAACACATGCAGCTTGCTGCTGGCAATCTGAGTCTTAGCAAAATGTTGCTTTTGCTGTCTGACCAACACACAAGAAAAGGGTTATATCCCTTGTTCAGTGAAGTTGTCTTTGATGATTGTTTAAAATTATAAACTGGCAGGGTGCCTGGCTGAGCATGGGACTCTTGATCTCAGGGTCTGAGTTCACGCCCCACATTGGGTGTAGAACTTACTTTAAAAAAAAAAAGATTAAATTTTTAAAAATTGCAAACTGAACTGCCTCCCCATCCTGAACCTCCTTGTGACCCCTTCCTGCTTTATTTTTCTCTGGAACACTTAGCACCATGTCAGATACTATGCATTCTACTCATTTTGTGTATTGACTGATCCCCTCCCTTCAATAGGAAATAAGCTTATTGTAGGCTCACTGTCTGTTATCTCCTTCATGTCTAGAAGAGTATTTCTAGGATGAATGAATGAGTCTTAATTGCTGTGAAATCATACATTTAAAGGCTCTTTGCCAAGAACAGTGCAGAAATCATCAGCTAATCTGGCTGCAAGTTCACAGAGTTTCTGTGAACAAAGACTTGCATGATCCTCCAGAGAAACTTGTGTCAATTATTTTGTATAGGCAGGCATTGTGAATTTTTGCACACATTAGGCCCTCTCTGGGGAGGGACGGGGTTTGTGACAGGATTGTGTATGGGTGCTGGGGGAAAGGACACTCAACACCCTAGGGTCTTTTGAGCCACTTAACTTTCTTTCTTTCTTTCTTTCTTTCTTTCTTTCTTTCTTTCTTTCTTTCTTTCTTTCTTTCTTAAGATTTTATTTATTTATTTGACACACAGAGAGAGATAGAGAGCACAAGCAGGGGGAGCAGCAGGCAGGCAAAGGGAGAGGAAGAAGCAGGCTCTCTGCTGAGCAGGGAGCCCGATATAGGGCTCAATCCCAGGACCCTGGGATCATGACCTGAGCCGAAGGCAGTCGCTTAACCAACTGAGCCACCCAGGCACCCCCGAGCCACTTAACTCTTTTTTGGCACTGTTCTGAAATAGTTGTGATGAGGGGCAGAAGGTCCCTCAGAATCCTGAAAGAAAAGCAAAGGAATTTCATAGCCTGACTTTTGCTAATGGATAAATAATTGTCAGTACAACACTTGGCCTCCTGTTTTTTCACAGGGTTTGCTGAAGGAGTTTGACCACCATTTGCTCTCAGCTGCGGAAGCCTGCAAACTGGCAACTGCCTTCAGTCCCTACACGCCCCTCTTTGTGCTCTCCGCTGTGGTAAGCAGGGGGCAGCCCCTCCCTGAACTTCTCTCCCCAATGAGGGAAGTAACCAGTGAGAGGGAAAGGTCTAACCTAAAGTGGGCTTTGTGCACATCATTAGATAATTGTGATCAGGCCTTATGTATGGAAAGGTTTTATCAATCAGAGTAGTGACATCCTAGTGGAAGATAATTAATTCAGCCTGAGGGTATAATGTTGTCCGCCTCACACCAATGGTCCCCAACACATCAGAACTGCCCAAAGAGTCTTTGCAAAATGTACATTCCTGGTCCACGCTAGGTCCACTAAATGCAAATCTCTGGGATAGAAATCTTTTATTTTGAAATACTGCCCAGGTGCACAGAGGGGTTTGGAAGCCACTACTCTATTGTTTTGACTTCTATTAAATAAATGATGTTTTTGTATATAGCAGCCTTATTTGCACAGAGAAAATTACTATGTCTGTGTCCCATGTATATAGACACTCTTTGCTAAAACTAACAACAGCAGTAACAGCAACAACAAATTTATCATCTTTGATCAAAAAGTATCAGGCCTGGGGCCCCTGACTGGTTTAGTCAGAGGAGCATGCAACTCTTGATCTCAGGGTCATGAGTTTGAACCCCACATTTGGTGTAGAGATTACTAAAAAAATAAATAAACTTAAAAAAAAGTATCAGGCCTACAGCAAGATGGTGGTTAGAGCTAATTTCTCACCCCCTCTCCTGATTCACCAAAAAGACTTTAGGTCCTTGACTCAATACTTGATTATGTCTTTTTTTTGGAATATCTGTGGCACGTGTTTATTTTCCTATAATACTTCTAACAACTGTCCTCCAGGAATGAAATTTTTCCTGATTCACTTCCAGTTTCAAATTCAATGTCTGATTTTGTATTTGGTATTTTCCTCAGAATATCCGTGGCACATGCTTGTTGTCCTATAGTAGTTCTAATGACTGTCCTCCAGAAATGAAAAATTCATATCTGTATGAAGCCAAAGAGGCCTTCGAAATTGGCCTCCTCACCAAGAGATATGATGAACCAGCTACTGGAAAACAAGAGCTTCATAGTCTTCTCAAAGCTGCTTTCGGCCTTACCACAGTGCACCAAAGACTCTATGGGGAGACCAAGATGGTCCATGTAGCAAGTCAGCTCTGTAATGAAGCTATGGGAAAGCTGTACCGTTTCAGTGCTTCCTCTGGAAGTCAGGAGAGAGAAGCTCTCTCTCAGCAGATCTTGTCTATTATCACCCAGGTAAAGGATCATTTACAAATTCAAGGCTTCTCAAATTTAGATGACAAGTCTTATGTTCCAGAGAGTTTCAAGCGTGGGTTGGATAAACCCATCTTTCATGGGCAAGTGGATTTCCAAAAAATCCTTGAAGCCTATTCACAGCATCATACTTCAGTGTGTGAAGTATTTGAAAGCTCTTGTGGAAACAACAAAAATAAACAAAAAGATACAAAAACAGGAGTCTGTATCACTACTCTAAAAACAGAGACAAAAAACATAGATACTGTGTGTACTACTGAAGACAAATCACATTTTCAAAAAAGCATGGTAATATCTTCCTCCCAAATGGCTAAGAATAGTCAGGAGAAACTCAGCAGGATAGGCAGGAAAAACTGGACCCATTCTGATGCATTTCGAGTCTCCTTGGATCAAGATGTAGAGACTGAGGTTGAGTCACCAGACCACAGCCACGGTGAAGAAGCTGTTTTGGACAAGTCTCTGAGTGACAGCCATTGCTCTAGTTCTTGGAGCAAGTTATCAGGGGTTAGTTCTTCTACAAGCTGGGAGGAAGTGAATTATATCGATGATAGGTCAACCAGAAAAGAGCCTTGCAAGGAAGAACATCTTGTGGATACTCAGTGTTCCACTGCCCTGTCTGAAGAGCTAGAGATCAATGAGGAAAGCAGAGCTGTACATCCACTGTCTTCAGAGCTTCATGGTCTCTCTCTCCAAGTATCCAAGGATGACAGTGTAGAGTTTTCTCAAAGTCACCTACACAAACACATGCCCTTAACAACCTTCTGCCCTCATAACACAACAGGCATGTTCTTGGCCTCTGGTGCAGGCCTGTTAGCAGGAGCTCCAGAAGGTGTGCAAAAGGTTAGAAACATGGGATCCAGAAACACTTCTGGTCATTCCAGCCCCTCATTTGGTTCTGCTTCTTTGCCATCTTCTGATTCTGGTTGGCCCAAGAACATAGCCACATATCCTTCAGTTCGAGAAAAAGAAACCTTTGGACTAAGTGAATTTCCAGAAATCAACTGTGATGCCAAAGACAGGCATGGGGAAGAAATCAAAAGAGGGACAGGCCTTACATTTAAAGATAGCTCCTCCTGGGTTGACCCAGAAGGAGAAACAGAGGAAAAAGAAGAGGGTATGCCCTTAGACTCTCACGTAGTCATGGAGGGTTCTCTGGGCAAAAGTTCTGCGATGGCATGTAGCTCTTTCACTCTTCATTGGCCTGTTCAAAATCCTGACTCAGGAAAGAGCAGCGGCTCAGTCAAAGAGCAGAACATTGACCCTGATGCCTCTACAGTGGATGAAGAGGGCCAACTGCTCGACAGCACTGATGTTCACCCCACAAATGGGTGTGGCTCTTCGAGCCTATGTTCCCTGAGGCAGCTGCGTGGTTGGGGGGCTGAGACCCCTGACCCATCTGTAAGCAGTAATATTGCCTTCCGTGATCTTAGCAAGGACTGCACTACCACAGAAGAAGGAAACGAACCAGGAAACATGCTAAACTGCAGCCAGAACTCCAGCTCGTCCTCAGCGTGGTGGTTGAAATCACCTGCATTTTCCAGCGGTTCTTCTGAGGGGGAAAACCCATGGTCCTTTCTGAATTCCAGTGGAAGTTCTTTTGTTTCATTGCCAGGAATGATAAGGCAAGAGATCCTAGAGGCTCGAACCCTGAACCCTGATGACTTTGAAAAACTCTTGGCAGGGGTGAGCCATGATTGGCTGTTACAGAGACTGGAGAATACAGGAGTTTTTAAGCCCATTCAACTCCACCGAGCACACAGTGAGTACAACCTTTTCAGTCAGTACAGCTTCAGGAAGCCTCTGTGTATGTTTGGGGTCCTCTAAACAGCTTGATATGTAGATCACTTAAAACTCATGAAAGACACAGACCCCTGTTATGCTTTGTGAATATACAGAAAAATATGTACTTTGGGGGTTTCCCTCACTCTTGGTGTGGTGGAGTCTAATGGTGGCAAAGACTAGAGGCTTACTCAGGCCACTGTGTGTATTAGGAGTTTGCTATGAAGATACACAAGGCATTAAGGCAGACAAGAATCTTACAGGACCAAGGAACAGTCATCAGTCAAGGTTTAAAACAGCTCTGCGTGTCATATCCACTCAGCATCTGTCTTTTCCCTGGATTCTCATTACCAACCAGCTGATTTCTGTTTTTCCCCATTCAGATTCTTGGGGGCAGAGTTTGACCTAGTTAAACATCACTCTTCTGCTGGGCAGAGATTTTCACAGCTGCCCACAAGGTTTCTTTTCAGCCAATGGATTGAGCAAGTGCCCCCTACTATTACAGTCAGCAACTACTTCTTGCTTATGGAAGAGCCCAAGGTCACTTATTATAGCAGGGAGCCTGGGTTGGGGCCCACCCGGTAATCAGTGTGTCTATTACAGCTTAGAAGTGGTGGAGAGGCTGGGAAGAAGACAAAAGAACGTTCTTCTCTTAGCCTAGAGGATCACATCATAACACCCTCCAAGATACTGAAGAATTATTTGAATGAAAAAAAAACAAGCTTTGTAGTTTGTGAAGCACTGGATACTAAAGTAGTAGTTCTCAGGGCACCTGGGTGGCTCAGTTGGTTAAGTGCCCAACTCTTGATTTCAGCTCAGGTCATGATCTCAAGGTCCTAGGATCCAGCATCCTGTGGAGCACAGCATCAAGCTCTGCACTCAGCGGGAAGTCTGCTGGCGGATTTTCTCTCTGCCTCTCCCTCTGCCCCTCCCTCCACTCATGCATGCTCTGTCAAGTAAATAAATAAATAAATAAATAAATAAATAAATAAATAAATAAATAAATAAAGTAATAGTAGTTCTCAATCTTGGCACTATATAAGAATCCCCTGGCGGGGAGGTGCTTTTTAAAATTTCCAGTGCCTCACCCCTGAGATTCCAATCTAAAGTTTCTGGGGTTTGGATCCAAGCATCAGTATTTTTTAAGAGCTCTTCAGTGCATTTTTATAAAGACAATGTCAGTAACTTCTGCTTCAGAGTATTCCAGTGTTTTGCCTGCTGCCTTGAAGTCAGACTAAGATACAGATCAGGTTGTCACAAAAAGAAGCAAAACATTCTATAATAGGGTTTCCCTATTCACTATTCCCTTTTTAGGGATTCTGTAGGTTCAGAATCACATTTCTTAGAGTTAGGTAACTGCTTTATTGTTATACCTGTGTGCCAATTTGTGGGTGAAAAGCCACATGTACATAATCTCAAACCCATTAGGGGAACATTATTATCCCCAGTGTACAGATAAGAAAAACAGAGAAAGCCCAAAGTTGAGGAAACAAAGCAAGTTGTACATTTCCTCCATCTTTCTTCCCTCAGTTCATTGCCCTTCCTATGAATGTGTACAAGCAGCTCACCTTCTGTTTCCATCCCCAGCTTCTCTGATTGAATGCCCCAACCCTGGCCACTGTCTTTCCCAGCCTCCAGGCATCTCCCGCCCCAGTCCCGGACCCGTGAGTTTCTTACCTGAAGTATTTTCTCTCCTGAGTCTCCTATACTTTCACCCATTATCACAACCTAGATGCAGGAAGGTCCTTGTTCACTTCATTTTAACTTGGATCCCAAAATGTTGCATTTCTTCTGACAGTTCATGTCTTTCCCCTCAAAGAAGTGCTTTCTTGCTAGCCCTGTTCTGCCTTTCCTTAAGGTGGAGACAGTTTTTGCTTTTCCTTCTTATCTTTTCCTTTTTCTATTGAGTAGAGTCTTTGTACGGTAGCTGTATTTTGTCAAGTAATTTCTGGACTTACCCAACTTAAAACAAGAGAAAATTAAGGTGCACTTTAATAGGTAACTATGATTTCTGAAGTTGCCAGGAGTCTCTGAGGTAGAGTTATTTCGTTTATTTCTATCTATATGGTCTGGCACCAGTAGCAGGCTCCATTATCCGGACCCCCCAGATAATTAGAAGAAGATGCAAGCATATATCACTCTTCCAAGATGGTCTCTGGGGTTTTGCTGTTTATTTTATTTTCTTTTTTTCTTTTTCATTTTTTTAATTTTTTTAAAGATTTTATTTATTTATTCATGAGAGACACAGAGAGAGAGAGAGAGAGGCAGAGGGAGAAGCAGGCTCCCAAGGAGCAGGGAGCCCGATGCGGGACTCGATCCCAGGACCCTGGGACCATGACCTGAGCCGAAGGCAGACGCTCAACCATCTGAGCCACCCAGGCGCCCTATTTTATTTTTTTTTAAGATTTATTTATTAATTTATTTGACACACAGAGAGAGAGGGGGAACACAAGCAGGGGGAGTGGGAGAGGGAGAAGCAGGCCTCCCACTGAGCAGGGAGCCCCACAGGGGGCTGGATCCCAGGACCCTGGGATCATGACCTGAGCCAACGGCAGACCCTTAACCGACTGAGCCACCAAGGTGCCCCAAGATGCAAGCATATGTCACTCTTCCAAGATGGTTTCTGGTGTTTTGATGTTTAAAAAGCCTTATTTTCCACCATCTTCATACAGAAACTCTGGCCTTATCTTAATCCCTGACCATCACAAGCAAAAGATTTTGTGAATCCTCATTACATTTGCAAAGCTTTACTTTATTGTACTTCACTAACTTTGTACTGGTAGTCATAGAAGAGGCTGAAATTTGAGAAAATGTCTAAAGAGCTGAAGATCTCAGACAAGCTGGATTAGGATCTGTGTCACTTCGACTTTATTCATAAATTGTAACATACCTTTGAAAATAACATCCATTTTTATCTTCTCTTTTTTTCCAGATGCTCTTTTATTAAAATATTCTAAAAAATCAGAATTATGGACAGCCCAAGAAACTGTTGTATATTTGGGGGACTACCTGAATGTGAAGAAGAAAGGCAGACAAAGAAATGCTTTTTGGGTTCATCATCTTCACCAAGAAGAAACTCTGGGGAGGTATTTCTTTAAAACATCTATACCACTAGTGTTAAATGGGCTAATTATGCCTTTCTGTTAATTAATCATTTATGAGATTTTGAAAGAGCTGGAAAAGTTAGCCACAATGTATATTTTCAGATTCCTACTCCTTCCTCCTCCTCATTAATTAACTAACGGTAGTTACCACAGACTGACCAACATTATGTCAGCCATTTTACATAGGTGTACGTGATGTCAAACCTCTCAGGAAGGGGCGCCTGGGTGGCTCAGTCGTTAAGCGTCTGCCTTTGGCTCAGGTCATGATCCCAGGGTCCTGGGATCGAGCCCCGCATTGGGCTCCCTGCTCTGCGGGAGGCCTGCTTCTCCCTCTCCCACTCCCCCCCTCCCCACACCACGTGTTTGCGCTCTCACTGCGTCTCTCTCTGTCAAATAAATAAATAAATAATCTTTAAAAAAAAAAAAAACCTCTCAGAGAGACATTGTTATCCCCATTGTAAAGATAAGAAAAATGGAGTTTCTGACTCTATGGCAGGACAGAGAGCCTCAAACACTCCCACGATAAATGCTGGCAAGAGGTCTAATTCAACTATGAAAACCATACTTATATGTAAATAAATGAGTCTGCAAAAAAAGGTAGGAAAATCCTTTGAGGCTAGGGATGAAGCATATCCAGAGATATGAGAGTATACTGAGCCCTTAAGACACCCCTGTTAGGTTTTGAGGGGGGTGAGGTAAGGTGGCAGCTAGTGACCAAAGTTACACATGTAAGGGACTATTTAGAGACCATCCAGTGGGTAGAGACCACCCACCCCCAGGCTCCTGGGTGGCTCAGTTTCTTAAGTGTACAACTCTTGATTTTGGTTCAGGTCATGATCTCAGGGTCGTGAGATCAAGGCCCATGTCAGTCTCCCTGTTCATCAGGAAGTCTGCTTGAGATTCTCCCTCTCCCGCTACTCCTCCGCCTGCTCTTACTCTCTCTCAAATAAATAAATAAATCTTTAAAAAAAAAAAAAAACCACCCCACTGAGGTAAACACCTGTTTGGCCTTAGTTCTGAATGACAACTTCAAGCAAAAACTCACCTGAAAAAATTAGTCACCACAGGTGATCCCCATTGGGTTTGAGACCTAATTTTACATCATCTATGTATTTAAAAAGACCTATAAGCCGAGAATTTTAAGGTGGACCCTGTTTTTTATCCAAATCCAAATAATGTAAGAAATAAATAGGAAGACAGGAAATGAGAGAGAGTGAGAAATTGGGTAATTATTAAAACAGTGGAAGTATATTTCTTGAAAAGGTTGTTGATGATGATGATGATAATAATAGAAACATGTAAATATATTTACCAAGTATATATATGTGCCAAGCCTTCTTTTAAGTAATTTATGTACTAATTTAATTAATCATCACAAAAATTTATGAAACAAATATTATTATCCTTATTTTACATACAGATGAGGGAAATGAGGCATAGAGATTTTAAGAAACTTGCCCCACATCACACATCCAAGTGATGAAGCCATGTGTTACGGGTTTAGTGAGTTTTTTAACAGCTCTGTACCTCCAGCCTCAAATTCATATGTTGAAGTCCAAACGCACAGTACTCAAACTGTGATCTTACTGAAATAGAGTCATTGCAGATATAATTAGTTAAGATGAGGTCATACTGGAGTAGGGTGGGCACCTCATCCACTATGACTGGTATTCTTATAAAAAAGAAATTTGGAGATAGACATGCACAAGGAGAATGCATGTAAAATTGTAGTTATGTTTCCACAAAGCAGGAACCACCAGAAGCTAGGAGAGAGGACTGAAAAACATCCTTCCCTAGTGGCTTCAAATTGAACGTGTCCCTGCTGACATCTTGATCTTGGACTTCTAAGCTCCAGAACTGTGAGAGAGTCAGTTTCTGTTGTTTAAGTCACTCAATTAATGGCACTTAGTTATAGTAGCCCTAAGAAACTAATACATCAGGGTGCATCATAGGAGGATCTGAGATGGGAAATAAAAGAGAGAATAAGAAATATGGAAGATGGAGTGAGAGGATCCAACATATGTCTGATCAGAAAAAGATAAATCAAATAGAAAAGAATTACTATTTAAATAAATAATATCTGATAATTTCCCAGAATTGCCAAAACACATTAATCTTCAAATACAGGAATCATAGTGAATCCTAAGTAGGATAGAAAAGGAAGAAGGGGGGCGCCTGGGTGGCTCAGTTGGTTGAGCGACTGCCTTTGGCTCAGGTCATGATCCTGGAGTCCCGGGATCGAGTCCCGCATCGGGCTCCCTGCTCAGCGGGGAGTCTGCTTCTCCCTCTGATCCTCCTCCCTCTCATGCTCTCTGTCTCTCATTCTCTCTCTCTCAAATAAATAAATAAAATCTTTAAAAAAAGAAAAGAAAAGGAAGAAGGGAAGAAACTAGAAATGAAGGAAGGAAGAAAAGAAGGCAGGCACTCATAAATCCACTTCTCGCTACATAGTAGTAAAACTTTAGAACACCAAAGATAAAGAAATAATCTTAAAAGCTGTCAAAGAAAAAAGTTTACTGCTAGCAAATCCTTACTGACGAAAAATGATCCCAACAAAATGGCATAAGATGCCAGAAAGAATGGGCCTCTGTTCCCAGACTGATGATCCTAAACCTAGGGCTGAAGGTCCTCTGACAGAACGTTTGGGAAATGCTCCAGCCCCAGGGTTTGCTCCAAGTTCTGAACTGATTCAGAGCTACTGCAGGTCCAGAGGTCTGTCCATGGCAGAAATGCTGGTACACCCGATGATGACAACCACTCCTCTGCTGGCTGTTTTCTGATGCCATAGAGGTTCCTCCTCGTCAGCCTTCACTGTCAGATTTCTTTTTTTTTTTTTTGTAAGATTTTATTTATTTATTTTTGAGAGAGAGTGTGTGAGCAGGGAAAGGGGCAGAGGAAGAGGGAGAGAGAGAATCTCAAGCAGATTCTGCATTGAGTGCAGAACCCATCACTGGGCTCAATCTCACAACCCTGAGATGGTGACCTGAGCCAAAGCCAAGAGTTGGATGCCTCACTGGCTGAGCCACCCAGGCGCCCCTCAGATTTCCTTTCTGATCCCCGGGAGTCTGAATGGCCAAAACTGCAGCCAACTTGGATTTCATTATCCTATTGGACTCAGTAATTTCTGGAGAGTGTTTTCTCTAGTTGAGGTCTATAACTCTGACAGTTCTCTTTGATTTTTGGAGGTCACTCTGGACACATGCAAATTACTCATAAATTCACACCAACTTATAGCAAATATAAACCATAGTAAAGTGTGATAGTTACTGTTTTGCTCCTTTCAACACTTAATCATTTACTGCCTCATATCTTCTGTCTCCAACTATGCATAAGGCCTTGAAATATACAAATCATATTTCACACTTTCTTCAAAACACTCAGGACTAGCACAGGGCTATGCACATAATAGGTGATGATGGAAACAAGTATTTGTACAGATGAAGTAATCACATATGGAAGGGATAGAGGAAGGCCTCAGATTGATTAATTGACCTGTTTAAGGCCCCAATGCAGGTAGTGAAAGATCTAGTTGCAGAGCCTGCACTTTCCAGTGTCCATCCTGGCTCCCTTGGCTCACCAAGGAAGTCTGGCAAACTGCTACATTAACTGGACATTTTCTCTGTAATCAGCATCATCTTGAGTCAGTGTATCAGACAGTGTTCTTCAGAAAAACGGAACCAAGAAGATGTATATACATATAGACAGAGAGTTAGTGTCACGGATTGGCTTGCATGGTAACAGAGGCCAGAAAATCTGAAGATCTGCAGTTGGCTAGCTGGAGACCCAGGAGAGCTAATGATGTAGTTCCAGGCCAAAGGCCAGCAGGCTCCAGACCCAGGAAGAGCTGATGTTTCAGTTCAAGTCCAAAGGCAGGACAAGACTGATGTCCCAGCTCAAAGGCAGTTTGGCAGGAGGAATCCTCTCTAACTTGGAAGAAGGTCAGTCTTTTTGTTCTATTCTTTGTCCTTCAACTGATTAGATTCGGCCCATCCACATGAGAGAGAGCAATCTGCTTTACTCAGTCTATTGATTTAAGTGTGAAATTCATCCCAAAACAACCTCACAAAAACACCCAGGATTATGGTTGATCAAATATCGGGGAACCCTATGGCCAAGTCAAGATGGCACATAACATTAGCCATCACAGTCAGCCAACATGAATTATGTTCTCTTGTTCAGGAGGCTCTTACAAAATTATCTGAGTCATGAGATAAGTCAGGATCATTAATACTGACTGTCCAAGGTAGAGAAAGAGTAACGTCTTTCAAGCATTTTTGCATATCTCCTTTGGTCTCCACTCTCTTCCTCTGTGATAAGATCACTTTCACGCTTCTTTTATGTGTTTTTTCCTCTGGTCATAGATATGTTGGGAAAGAATATAAGGAGCAGAAGGGGCTCCAGCACCACTTCACTGATGTGGAACGTCAAATGACCGCACAGCACTACGTGACAGAGTTTAACAAGAGGCTTTATGAACAAAAGGTTCCAACACAGATCTTCTATATCCCATCCACAGTAGTACTGGTAAGATTAAAGAGAGCAAGGGTTTGCTTAAACAAGCCTGTAAGTATATACTAGGTTACATTTTGGGTAAAATCCAGTAAACTCAGTTACCAGACTATTTCATCTCCTTCATCTACTTAGAGAGATATGTAAGAACTATGACCTTTTAGACCCTGAATATATCATTTGGATCTTCCAGGTCACCCTGTTAATTCTGGTATCTGGTCACACATGGTCAAGTTAGCATTTTTAATATCCTTTCTTTGGGTACTGTCTGTACGTTCAAAGAGAGAAGAAGGAACCCAAAGATGATATGTAGTACAAGTTATCCCCTCAACCCGATGCATGAATTCCCTGTTTTACATCTGTTAGTCCCCACCCCTGCCAACCATGTAATTACCAAGTCATAGCTTAAACACGTTTAGGAAGGAAAAATAATTATTTCCTTTTCACTTTCAAATAATTCTAGTTGTGAGGAAGTTCTTAGATCTGTCTTCCTCTGATTTCTACCTATGAATTGCAGCTCCACCTTCTGGGGCCATTGAGACCAATCTGTTTTCACTAAGATATCTCTTTAAATATATAAAGGCAACCACCCATCTCCATCCTCTATTTGGATTAAGAATATCCTGCCTTCCCAAATATGTTGGATCCTTAGCTCATTCATACCTAAAGGACTTTTTTTTTTTTTTTACTTTGGCCAAAGACATTTTTTGACGCATATTTTATTACTACCAATAATAGCTATCATCCATTTTTCACTTTCTTTATGTCAAACACTATGCCAGGCATTTAACTCATTAACTCTAACCTTTGAAACAACTCGGCAAAATAGATTATACACACAAATGCTTGAACTGATATTCCAGCCCAGCATTCCAGGGCATGATTTATCTACATGTCTTGATGAGCTAGCTCCCTAGGGTAGGTCACTTCATGGCCTCATTTTTATGTGAGCATTTTAATAAAAGAATAATAATAATTTTAAGTTCTATTATATGCCACATAAAATGTTAAGCGCTTTACATGCATTTTTCTCATTTAATTTTTTTAACAATGCTATAAGGTAGCTATTATTATAATATCTGCTTTACAAATGAGCAGACCAAAACCTCCAGAAGTAACAGAGCTCCTAAATGGCAAAGCCTGGTTCAAAATGAGGTCTACCCGACCCCAAAGCCTGAGGCCTTCCTCGCCATTATGGTCTCCTGTTTCTATTTTTCAGATTTTGGAAGGCAAGACAATAAAGGGATGTATCAGTGTGGAGCCTTACATACTGGGAGAATTTGTAAAGTTATCAAATAACACGAAAGTGGTTAAAACAGAATACAAAGCCACAGAATATGGCTTGGCTTATGGCCATTTTTCCTACGAGTTTTCTAATCATAGAGATGTTGTAGTCGATTTACAAGGTATGTGAAATTGGGATTTATTTTTTTATTTTTAGTGTTATTCATATGTAAATGTGAGGTCTTGTAACTAGCTCTTCTAGTCATTATTTAATAGATTTTTCAGTGCCTAGACTACTATTTGTAATTAAATTAATTGATTTTACTTTATGTAGCAAATGATGTCTGAAAAAAATGTCTAAAGCTTCTACAGGGGTCTACAGTATCACATAATGAGTGAGAAGATCTGGCTCACATTCTGTTGGGCTTAATTCTAGAGCAAATCCACAATGGCTTTTTTTAATTTCACTTAAGTGTATTTGAATGATGTAGGTTTTTTAATGCATGCTTTAATATGTGAAAGTCTTTCCACTCTTTCTTTTCTTCAGCCCTTTACCTTTATGACAAGTGTGATATTAGGTTTCATAATGGGGTCATTAAGCAATGGAAAGTTGTATGTACTCAAATCTGACCTTTTAAAAATTTTCTGCATTTATATTTTAATTTTATTTCAGTTCATCTAATATTTTGTTTACCAGAATTATTAGCCAATACTCTTCACTTCATTTAAATGATACATGAGGTTTATCATAACTGTTTTTAGTAATGATTCTAAGACCATCCCCCAAGATTTTCTCTATCCCCCTTCCATAGCATTTATCGTCACTCTTTATCATATTATATATTTTTACTTACTTATATTGCTTATTAATCTGTCCCACTTCACCAGAATGTTAGCTCAGTGAGTATAGTGATTTTTTACTCACTTGTTCATTGCTAAATCCCAAGTACTCAAAATAGTGTCTTGTATAGTGTGTATGCTCAATAAATATTTGTTAAATGAACAGATGAATTAATGGGTTAAGCACCAAAGCGACTTATGAATCGTGAAAGAAATATTCAATATATTGTGATCTTAGTAATTAAAGTAAGTGCATTTTATTGCTCTCTAATTCCTTGAAAATTGGCAGTCTAGGTATGTCATATTTGACAAATTTAATTACCCAATGTTCAGTTTCCCTTCTTAAACCAATAATTGGAATATGCAATACCAAATCCCTTAACAGAAACTTATTAAACATAAACCTCAGTATAACCGAGTTTTTAAAATATCTCTTTAAGTTAATACATTTTATTTTTCTGAAATACACTACTGACTATCCTCTATAAAATAGAGGATATAATTCTCAGACATGTTTATTTCTCTTTTAGGTTGGGTGACTGGTAATGGAAAAGGGCTCATCTATCTGACAGATCCCCAGATTCACTCTGTTGATCAGAATGATGTCCCTACCAATTTTGGAAAGAAAGGAATTTTTTACTTTTTTAATCACCAGCATGTGGAATGTAATGCAATATGCCATCGTCTTTCTCTGACAAGACCTTCAGTTGAGAAATAATTCATAGGCTCTCTGGCGTGGTAATGGAATAGGTTTAGCACTGCTTACCTGTGTGGGGTCCTGCTCTCCTTCCAGGCACACACAGTATGGCATAGCCCGGTTCCTTTGGGCTCGGGCAGGGCCATGGGACTAGTTCTAGCCAATAATTTGTGAGATGAATTGTTGAGTATCAATTTCAGGCCCATATTTAATTGCCAGTGCAAGATGCTGTGGAGCTCCTTTCCTCTGCCACAATTGGCAAGAATATGTCAGGAGATAGCTGCTTATCAGCATAAGTCCTGCAGAGAGGCCAGCCTGGAAAAGGCCCCCATGGACCCATCGTGGACACAAAACAGATGAGAAATAAACTTTTGTGGCTTAAGCCATTGAGATTTTAGAGTTTTTTGTCACTCTCTATCAATGCTGACGCTACGGGTGTTTTTCATCTTGACTTAGGAGTTCTCTGTATGTATTAAAGAATTTAGGACATTGTGATATGAGTTCCTGTTTTTTCCTGTTTGTCTTCTGACATTTGACTTTGTATGAAACCTTTTTTTTCCATGCAGAATTTACTTTATACAGTTGAATTCATTAATCTTTTATTTTATGGCTTCTAGTTTATATGTCATATGTAGATCCTCCCTACCATGGGTTTCTTTATTTTTAAAGTATGTTTCTAGTACATTTACATTTGTGAAAGGTATGAGGGAAGAATGGTGCATTTTAACAGGCACGACAGTCCACTCCTTGCACCACACAGATCTGCTTCTTCACACAGGTGTGGGGAACAGCTCATCGATGATCTTGTTAAAAGGAACTTAGAGAAGGGATATTGGTGAGGTATTCCCTTACTGAAGTTAGTCTTTGGGGATTCAGCTGGTTTCCACCCTTTCTCTCCTCCATTAGTAGGTCTAAATTTCCCTCATTCTTAAGTATTACTTCAGCAAGTCTTAATAGCTTATCCGGTGGTGTGACTCAGCCCTACAAACATGAGGTAGATTCTGCATACTTGATAGAGCTTTCTCAGTTTGGGGTTACTGCACAAGTCTGTCCACAACTGCAGTTGGGGCAAGTGAGAACCGTGTAGATCTCCTGCTGTGGGGGGTGTGGTTGACTGACACTCCAGCTTCGGCCCCTCTGGATCACAATGAAGTCATGCTCCGCAGCATGCTCTCAGCCACAGGCTCAGCAAGACCTGGAAACCAGGCTCAGAATACTTCAACAGGTGACTGTACACAACGTCTTCCCAGTGGTCTGATAAAAACCTTCGTAACACTATGTTGTCGTCTGACACTCCTCCTGCCCAGTCCTCCTTTGCCCTCTCCTTTCACTGGTCCTACACGTGCATATCCCTGTTCCCACCGCTTAGCCTTTAGAGTCATTTCTCCCAATAAATATCTTGTATGTCTAATCCCTTTCCAGCATCTGCTTCCTGTACAACTGAAACCAACACAAGTTTCTTATGAAAATGGAAAAAACTTCCTCCTATTAACAAAGAGGGAAAATCATATCATCTCCAAAGATACAAAAAAAGGTCGTTTAAAAAAATGAAAATCAATTCCTGGTAAAAAGCTCTGTGCAAAATAAGCATAAAGGAAAGCTTTCTAAATCTGATAAAGGGATTTTTAAAACCTTTTAAAAAAAACAGCAATATCATAATTAACAGTGAGGCACTTAACTTTTTCCATTTGAGAAAAGGAATAAGACAAATTTGCTCACTAACCAAACCCTATTCAACATTTGTGGAAAAAAATTAAAAATACGTATATTGGTGTCTGACCTGGTTTCTGGCACAGAACTCCTAAAAGCCTTGTAATTCCTTAAGAGATAAGAGCATCTTTTGTTCTAATATTTGGTCTCTGACTCCAGTCCTGACAGAGAGCTCCTAAATCCCTTGAAATCTCCTGAGTGATAAGAGAATCTTTTGTTTGAATGAGGCAGCTCTTAATGAGCTCTGAGATAGCTTCCGGATAAGGACCGGTCACCAGGAAGACCAAGCCATGGTTAGAAGTTTGGAACTTTCAGCCTCACCTCACACCCTCCTAGAAGGGGAGAGGGACCAGCAATTGAGTTAATGATTAATCATGTCGACATAATGGAGCCCCAGTAAAAATCCCTGAATTACCAGTTTTGGAGGGCTGCCAGGGTGCTGAATGACCTGGAGGTCCTGGGAGGGCAGGAAGCTCCGTGTCGGAGCCGCTCCCCCATAACCTGCCTTATGCATCTCTCCCAGCTGAGGTTCATCTCTTTCTTTCATCGTATCCTCTTACAATAAACCAGTGAATAACTAAGTATTTTCCTGAGTTCCGTGAGCCATTTTAGCATAGTATCAAACCTAAGGAGGGGGTCATGAGAACCCCGATGTGCAGTCATTCAGTAAGAAGTACAGGCAATATCTGGGACTGCAATTAGCGTCTGAGGTGGGGGGGGGGTCTTATGAGACTGAGCTCTTAGCCTGTGGGATCTGATGCTAATTCCAGGTAGAGTGTCATAAACATGAATTGAAAGGTAGGACATCCAGCTGGTGTTAGAGAATTAGTTGGTGTGGGGAGAAAACCCTCACACCCGGTTTCAGAAGTATTGTGAATGTGGTGCTAGCGTATGTAAGTAAAGGAGAAATACAAAGAGGCTTTCCTCCCTCTAAAACATTATAGAAGAATTCCAGCTAATACACATAGAAGGAATGATAGAATTAGGAAATCACCCTATATCCCTTAATGAAATATGGATCTGGTCAAAAATCATTGATAACTGCTAATACTATCAGGAGAAAATTGATGAGGAACTTTATAATGGAGGAATCAGACTGACGCTACTTACACCTCAATCAATTCTATCACCAAAAATGGGATAATAAATTAATGATAAAATACACTTTGGGGACAATTAGGGATTTTTAGTGTTTACTGAGTGTTAGATAAAATTAGTGAAGTATTATCTTAAAACAATACTAAAGCCAAAAAAAAAAAAAGTGAAGGTGGAAGTGAGAAAAGCTGGGTTCTTTCTTGATAATGTTGAAGCAGGGATAAGCATACATGGGGATTCATTATATTAGTCTTTCTCCTTTTGTATATATTTTTTAAATGTACACAAATTTTTTTAATTAGAAGGTCATAGAAAGGAAGAAATACCAAGGATTATCCAAAGAATGGGTAGAGATGATGAAAACTATGATTTGTATCAAATAAGCTAATGAGGAAAGAATGTAAGAAGGAGTGGTCAACAATGTAAAGTCCCGCAGAAAAATCAAGAAGAAAGAGAATATGTATTGGGTGAGGGCCTGAGGATAATGAGGAGAGATGGTTGACAGCAAAAACAAGCCACTGATTGACAGAGTGACCCTTTGGATGTTTTAGAATAGAGATCAGCAAACCATGGCCCCTGGGTCAAATCCTGCCACCACCATTCCAAGTTTTATTGGAACACAGCCGCGCTCATTCAGTTACATATTATCCGTGGCTGATTTTGTGTTACAGTGACAGAGTTGAGCAGTTTGTTAGAGACTGTGTCCTACAAAGTCAAAGATATTCACTATCTGGGGCTTTACAGGAAAGGTTTGTTAACCCTTGTGGTAGAAGATGAAATCAGAAATAAAGGTCAGGATGTTTACATTTACAAAGAAATATGGGTGCCTCTACCAACACAAAAGAAAAAGAGGTAACAACAATGAATGAAGAAATTGGAAATTGGAGGTGATAAAGGAGAAAGTTGATGAAAAGCATGTGTCGGAGCATCCTTTTCTTTGTGAAGTAAGAAGTCTAGGCTCTCTGTTGAATGAGATGAGGCTAGCAACATCAAGGCTTTGAGAGGAGGGAAGGTTATGAAACAATGAATATCTCTGTATCATAAAGAAGAGAAATAGTACTACTGAGGGGAATTCACAGAAAATTACATTTTAAAAATCTCTTTAAATTGTTATTTATTGGGACGCCTGGGTGGCTCAGTCGTTAAGCGTCTGCCTTCGGCTCAGGTCATGATCCCAGGGTCCTGGGATCGAGTCCCACGTTGGGCTCCCTGCTCAGCGGGAAGCCTGCTTCTCCCTCTCCCGCTCCCCCTGCTTGTGTTCCCTCTCTATGTCTCTCTCTGTCAAATGAATAAATAAAATCTTTAAAAAAAATTGTTATTTATTTACACCAACACCAATATACCCAACATCTGGCTTAAGAAATTAAATGTAATACTAATGTTGAAGACTCCCATGGACCTTTCTCTAATCTTCACCTCCTTTTCTACCCAAGAAGCAATCACTAGCCAGAAAGCATTGGTTATCATTCCCTTTAATGTTGTTACACATTTACTTTTATTTAATGTTATTCATTTATATTTTGTATAAAAGCAACAATAAAAATCCAGTGTTAGGGCTTTTTTTTTTTTATACTTTTAAGGTTTGTATATATGCAAAAAAGGCCAGAAGCATTTAAAATGAGCCAGATTGGCTTTATAGAAAATGAAAAATACAGTCATTGATATTTAAAATGTAATAGAAAGGTTAAACAGCAAACTAGGCATCATTGAAGAATGAATTACTGAAATACAAGGTAAATGTGAAGAAATTAACCAAAATGCAGCAGAAAGATAAAGGGATGCAAAATACAAAAGAAGGAATATGAGATTTGGAGGAAGGAAGGAGAGGTCTACCAGAATCTAGTGGAGGTTCTAGAAGGAGAAAAAGAGAATGAGGGAGAGGGAATCCTCTTAGTCAAGTGAAGAAAATGAATCAAGAAGGGCATGATCAATTGTGTCAAATGCTGCTTATAGATAAGAAGAGTAATGTGAATTAAATTGTTTACTAGTAACCTTGATGTGAGCAGATATAGTGGAGTATTGGGGGTGAAGGGTCAAATGGAACGATGCATTCATTTTTTATTGCTACATAACTAATTACCACAAACTTAGCAGCTTAAAACAACACACATTTATTATCTCAGAGTTTCCATGGATCAGAAGTTCTGGGCACAGCCTAACTGGTCTTCTGTTCAAAGTCTCCCAAGCCTGCAATCAGGGGGTTGGCCAGACTATGT